GGCTTAAAATGAAAATTTTAGCCTAACAGGTTCTTAAAATCCAGGTTCTTATACGTGGGCTATTACTGTATTACAACTAACAACAATAGAAGATAGTGTGCCACTAGTTACCTTCTCCATGCCTCCATGATGTTGTACTATCCTATAAAGTTTGTATAGGTCTAAATCTTGATTTCCTAACACTGGAGGTCTTGCAATTGGTGTTCCTAAAAATTTACAATAAGACCATTGAGAATCCCATCAGGAAAGGTTAAGTCTGCATATGAGCCAAGTGGCCCATTTGGCCTTAGAACTACAAGCTGAAAAGGAAGAGGCAAAATGGAGACAAACTAAATTTAGGGCTGGCGACACTGCTTACTCAACACTTAAAGTGCCACTAACACCCCAATTTTTTTTTCCTAATATCAATTTCATTTTTCTCCTAATCACCACTGCCAAAAAAATATCATTGTAACTACTTTCGTTAACTTTGCATGAATTTTCAAGTTTGTTAAATTGCCTTTTTCCATGTTCACCACAGAGGAATAGAGGAGAATGGGACGAGTTGGCTTCTGACATCATTTCGGGAATAACAATATTTTGTTTCTGAGAAGAATATACATGCGAAACTGTGTGTCAAAATCATTGCAGAATGCAAGGAAGATGTGCTGTTGGAGACAGTAACAATACAGAATGCGTAGGATAGAGTACTCCTCTTCATTCAATACCTCTATCTTTATGAAACTTGATTGGAAACGAGAAAAAGACCAAAGTAGGCTGATCTGTACAAAACTAAAGCCAGGGAGCCATAGAGGATTTCTTCGATCTCGCGTTTGCTGCTACTGTCCTACAGATTTTCATGGTCTGTATATTCTCTAAAGGAAAGCTTGACATTGTCAAGGTACTGCGTAAAACAGGAATTTGGGAAAAGCTGGAAGCCATCTGACTATTCTGAGCTTGAACAATCTTCCGAATACCAAACCAAAATAAATAATGGAAACTGTAGGTAAAGAAATTAAATGCATTACGTTTTCTATACTTGAAATAGTAACTTTTCTAAACAAATAGTAAGCAAAACCTACATCCTACAATGAGGCGATCAAGATTGTTGAAGCTTCGACCTGGTGGACTAGCTATGTATTTGTGGACTTTAATAAAAATACACGCATGCCAGAGGTCGTAATCTGGCTGCATTTCTCACTGACCATTCTGCGTACACAATTGCTTTGTTCTTTGAACTTTGTTTTTGAGGAATGAAACATATCTAAATTACAAACTTAGAATAGATCAAGAATTGATAAATATTCGAGGAAAGTGAAACAAACGATTATTATTTGACTCTATAGCTACCGGTGGAGATTGTTGTGGTGAAAGAAGAATGCACTTGTCAGTCACCCTAAACACAATCTAATAAGTCGAGAACTCCCAGGTTGTTAGCATACCTAAACTAGACTTTTCAAACTAACAGTGATTAGAAATGTATTCAGTTAACTGATACTATACTGAACCTCTTTTCAAGATGTTGTCGAAGGATTTTCCATGATTTACTGGTACAAAATATGCACATTTGTGTAGTTTGCGATGCTTGTGTTTGTACACAGTAATTGAACTACGGTTGGTTGACAATAACGAAGTGAAAAGTTACCTCACCTTCAGATATTGTTTGCCGACATCTCTGCTTATCTCTTATGTTAAAACTATTTTCAGTCATTGATCTGGAGAAGTACATCGCATTTTAAGGTTGTGTTTTGACACTCTGAAATCTGCATGTTCTGTAAAGTCAAATTACCAACTCTTCGTGTTCACTGACATCTTTCTGACTCTTTAATAGCTGTAAGTTAACTCTTCAGCCATTATTTGTACCTTTATAACCCAAATTGACCAGCAAATTGTCGATCCTAGCCTACATTACAAAGCGGCAATCTCAACTGGCGACCCGGCTGCACTTTGAAATGGAAAAAAACACATACATCACAGCCATCCAAATCCTAGCTAGACTCTGAATTGTAATGCTAGATGATACAGTTCTTTCACTTAAAAATCTTGTCCAGTTTTGATAAAATATGAATCACAAATACCCAAAAATGTTTTGAGAGCTCTCGCAAGTCTCTTGAGTGTTTTAGCTCGGTTCCCGAAGTGACCTCAGCAGTAGCCCATCCCAGATCCCACTTTGCATGGTTGTGAACATAGAAATTACATATTCAAACGCCTGTAGAAACAAAGGGATTTTATCAAT